CCACGGGACTGCCAGACCTGTGAGTGCGGAGCCCACAGTGGCTCTGAACCCCCCCAGGGACCCCCAAAATCTCTGGGAATCCCCTTTCCTTCCCTCCACGTATCCCTGCTCCACAGATCCTTACTTGCCACCTAAATCTTGCCCTCAGTAGACTCCCCGGTCCTTCGGCTTGCAATCCCGAATCCCTGTCCCACTGACCCCTACGTGCCACCTAAGTCCTGGCCCCAGATCCCTGCCCCATAAACCCCTAGAATTCCTGCCCAGGGTGGCTCAGCTTACGCCCCAAATCCCTGTCCCATTGACCTTTCCTTGGCACCCAAATCCCTACCCCAGAGACCCCTAAAATCCCTACCCTGGGGGATCCCCACTTGACCTCCCAAATCCCCACCACGGGAACCCCTCCCCTCCAGCCCCTCATCCCGGGGACCCCCACGTGGCCCGGGGGAGGGGGGAGCCACGGGGGTCCCCGTGCCCAGCGTGTCCCTGTGTGCCCCCCACAGTGACCAACAGCATCTGCCACGGCTGCCCCCGGTGCAAGGGCACGAAGCCCACGGACTGTTGCCACGAGCAATGTGCCGCCGGCTGCACCGGCCCCAAGCACTCCGACTGCCTGGTGAGCATGGGAGGGGGGCTCTGGGGGCCCCCAGGGGGGGTGCAGGGGTCTCACACTGGCCGTTCTCCCCCCCCCTCCCCTCCCAGGCGTGCCTGAACTTCAACAGGAGCGGGATCTGCGAGCTGCACTGTCCCCCCCTCGTCATCTACAACTCGGACACCTTCGAGTCGATGCCCAACCCCGATGGGCGCTACACCTTCGGTGCCAGCTGTGTCACCCAGTGTCCCTGTGAGTGACACTCAGAGGGGAGGGGGGGCCAGGGGGAGCCAGCACGGCCCTGACACCCCCCCTTCTGCCCCCCCACCCCCAGACAACTACCTTGCCACGGAGGTGGGGTCCTGCACCCTCGTGTGCCCCCAGAACAGCCAGGAGGTCACGGTCAACAACGTCCAGAAGTGTGAGAAGTGCAGCAAACCCTGCCCGGAGGGTGAGCAGGGACTCCCGGGGGCTGGGGGGGCTCTGGGGACCCCAGGGGTGCCAGTGGGAACCCTCCAGGGACCTGTGGGGGCTTTGGGGACCCCAGAGGTGCAGGTGAGCAGCCCCCCAGTGAAGTTCTGGGGACCCTCCAGGGGTGTGTGGGGTGGCTCCATGGCTGGCAGGACTGGAGCAGAGCAGTGAGTGTTCTGGGGGGATGGGGGTCCTGGCAGAGCCCCCCCAGCCCTGCTGTGCCCCCCCCTCACCAGTGTGCTACGGGCTGGGAGTGGATTTCCTCAAGGGTGTCCGTGCCGTGAACGCCTCCAACATCCAGCACTTCTCCGGCTGCACCAAGATTTTCGGGAGCTTGGCCTTCCTGCCCGAGACCTTCGCTGGGTAAGCACCTCATCACCTCGTTCCCCCCTCCCTGAGCTCACTGGAAACCCTGCCAGGACCCCCCCCAACCTCCCTCCTGTCCCTACCAGGGATCCCAGCACCAACACACCACCCCTGGACCCCAAACTGCTGCGGATCTTCGAGAGCCTCGAGGAGCTGACGGGTGAGAACTGAGGGAGCTGGGGGGCTGGGGGGGGGGTCAGATTTGGGGGGGGACACGGGGTGGTGACACCCAACTCCCCTCAGGCTTCCTCTACATCGCTGCCTGGCCACCTGAGATGAAGGACCTGGGAGTCTTCCAAAACCTGCGGGTCATCCGGGGCCGTGTCCTGCACAAGTGAGGGGGGACGGGGACATGGGGGGACATTGGGGGGCATGAGGGGACACATGGAGGGGACACAAAGGGGAATGCAGGGACATGGGGGGATGTGAGGGGACACGGGGTGGACACAGGAGAGGCACATAGTGGGGACATGGAGGGGGGGACGCATGGGGGGACACAGGGAGAACATGGTGGGACGGACAAGGGGACATGAGGGGACATGGTGGGACGTGGGGCTACATGGGGGGACATGGAGGACACACATGGGAGGACACAGGGTGGACATGATGGGACACACAGGGGGACATGGGGGGACATGGGCAACACACACAGGGACACGGGGTGACACAGGGGGACACGGGGTGACACGAGGTGACACGGGGGGCCGCGTGTCTGACCCGTGGGTGTCTCGGCAGCGGCGCCTACTCGCTGACGCTGCGGGACCTGGCGGTGCAGGCGCTGGGGCTGCGGGCCCTGCAGGAGATCAGCAGTGGGATGGTGCTCGTCCACCACAACCCCCAGCTCTGCTTCCTCCAGAAGGTGCCCTGGGACAGCATCTTCCGCAACCCCCGCCAGCGCCTCTTCCAGACGCACAACAAGCCCCCCCGAGCAGTGTGGTAAGTGGTGCCTGGGGGGGTGGGGGGAGAGGGTGGACCCCCCTCCCATCTCTGACGGACCCCCCCGGTGCTGATGGACCCCCTGGTGCTGACGGTGCCCTCCCTGCAGAGAGCGAGGGGCTGGTTTGCTTCCACCTCTGCGCCCACGGGCACTGCTGGGGCCCCGGACCCACCCAGTGCGTGGCCTGCGAGCGGTTCCTGCGCGGCCAGGAGTGCGTGGCCTCCTGCAACCTCCTGGATGGGTGAGTGGAGACCCTTGGGAATGGCAAACAGAGCCCTCCCCCCCCCCCCGCTCAGGACCAGGTCCAGGACCCCATCCCTGTGCCTTCTCCCCGCAGAGCCGTCCGGGAACACGCCAACGGGACGCGGTGCCTGCCGTGCCACCCCGAGTGCCAGCCCCAGAACGGCACCGAGACCTGCTTCGGATCGGTGAGGGGAGGGAAAACACACAGCCAGGGGTGGGACAGGGGGTGTTCCCGGACCCCTGGGTGCCTCAAAACCCCCCCCAAATTCCCGCAGGAGCCGGACCAGTGCGTGGCCTGTGCCCACTACAAGGACGCCCAGCAGTGCGTGCGGCGCTGCCCCAGCGGGGTCAAGGCCGACGCCTCCTTCGTGCCCGTCTGGAAATACCCTGACGAGGACGGGGTGTGCCAGCTCTGCCCCACCAACTGCACCCACTCGTGAGTCGGGGGATCCCTGGCTGGGCAGGGGAGGGGGGTCACAGCTCTCAGCAGGGGGGTGCTGACAGCGGGGTGCCACACGCTGTGTCCCCAGGTGCACCATCCGGGATGAGGACGGGTGTCCCGTGGACCAGAAGCCGAGGTAGGAGCGCGGATGAGCTGTCCCACCCTGACCCCCGCCCCTCGGGGTCCCCCATCACCCCATCCCGCCCCCAATGCCCCCTCTGCCCCCCAGCCAGGTGACGTCCATCATCGCCGGCGTGGTGGGGGCTCTGCTGGTCATCGTCCTGCTCCTCATCACCGTCATCTGCGTCAAGCGCCGGCGGCAGCAGGAGCGCAAGCACACCATGAGGCGCCTGCTGCAGGAGACCGAGGTGGGGCCTCCCGGGGGGCAGGGGGGAACCCCCCCAGGGCCCAGGGTGTGCCAGGAGCTGGCCCCCCTCACCCCTGTGTGCCCCGCAGCTGGTGGAGCCGCTGACGCCCAGCGGGGCCCTGCCCAACCAAGCCCAGATGCGGATCCTCAAGGAGACCGAGCTCAAGAAAGTGAAAGTTTTGGGTTCTGGTGCTTTCGGCACCGTCTACAAGGTGAGGGCTGGGGGGCACCGGGGTGGGGTGGGATCCTCCCTGCTCCACACCCCCCTCACCTGTGTGTCCCCCCCCTCAGGGCATCTGGATCCCCGACGGGGAGAGCGTGAAGATCCCGGTGGCCATCAAGGTCTTGCGGGAGAACACGTCGCCCAAAGCCAACAAGGAGATCCTGGACGTGAGTGTGGCAGCGGCGCCAGCGGGGAGGGAACGGGGGCCAGGAGCGGCCCCATGCCCACCCTGACCCCCACCCTGACCCCCCCTGCCCACAGGAGGCCTATGTGATGGCGGGGGTGGGCAGCCCCTACGTGTCCCGGCTGCTGGGCATCTGCCTGACCTCCACGGTGCAGCTGGTGACGCAGCTGATGCCCTACGGCTGCCTCCTGGACTACGTGCGGGAGAACAAGGACCACATCGGCTCCCAGGACCTGCTCAACTGGTGTGTGCAGATCGCCAAGGTAGGACGGGGGCTCCGGGGGTACCAGGGTGGGGGTCCTGGGGCGGGCCAGGGACAGCCAGAGATGTGCCTCCCGCAGGGGATGAGCTACCTGGAGGAGGTGAGGCTGGTGCACCGGGACTTGGCCGCTCGCAATGTTCTCGTCAAGAGCCCCAACCACGTCAAGATCACGGACTTCGGGCTGGCGCGGCTGCTCGACATCGACGAGACCGAGTACCACGCTGATGGGGGCAAGGTGGGGGCACAGGGACAGCGTGAGGGCACCGTGGTGCCCCCTGGGTGCCAGCCAGCCCCCAGCCCCAGCCCCGTTCACCTCCCCCTCCTCCCTGTGCCAGGTCCCCATCAAGTGGATGGCGCTGGAGTCCATCCTCCGCCGGCGCTTCACGCACCAGAGCGACGTCTGGAGCTACGGTACCTTGGGGTGTCCCACCCCTGGGGGTGCAGGGGGGGTCCCCAGGGCGCTGCTCACCCCCACCCCCGCCCCTGCCCCCTCCAGGTGTCACCGTGTGGGAGCTGATGACGTTCGGGGCGAAGCCGTACGACGGGATCCCCGCGCGGGAGATCCCGGACCTGCTGGAGAAGGGGGAGCGGCTGCCGCAGCCGCCCATCTGCACCATCGACGTCTACATGATCATGGTGAAATGTACGGGCAGGGGACACAGGGATGCCATGGGGACACGGGGACACCATGGGGACACATGGTCATGGTGAAATGTACGGGCAGGGGCCACGAGGACACCATGGGGACAGCATGGGGACATGATCGTGGTGAAATGTGCAGGCAGGGGA